CACCCAAGCAGGCCTGCCAGTCTGTGAGCACAGTGCCTCCGCTGTTCATCCATTCAGTCATACCACCAAAATATAACCCCACCCAAGCAGGCCTGCCAGTCTGTGAGCACAGTGCCTCCGCTGTTCATCCACTCAGTCATACCACCCAGATATAACCCCACCTGAGCAGGCCTGCCAGTCTGTTAGCACAGTGCCTCCTCTGTCTATCCACTCAGTCATACCACCCAGCCCCAAACCCACCCAATCAGTGCATGCTCCTTACACACTGTAATCAGTGCATGCTCCTTACACACTGTAATCAGAGCATGCTCCTTACACACTGTAATCAGTGCATGCTCCTTACACACTGTAATCAGAGCATGCTCCTTACACACTGTAATCAGTGCATGCTCCTTACCTCACCTTGTATAGGTGTTCAAGCATATCATATTTCCTGATTCTATGGCCTTTTGTCATAGAATCAGGAATCAGTACTGGCAATGTCCTGGTGTCCATCTACATAATATATAAACACCACACACTTTGATGCTTTTCATGAAATATCTAAAAAATATTGCAATAATTATTATATTTCATTATATTATGATGAATTCAGTGATTACACTGTAAAATTATACAAAATGTAATGAAATAGCACTACATGTACATGAACAGAATGAACAGAAAACACTACTATCCTTAGATATTTTTGATAGCATTTGTAGTAAAATAATTACCCACAAACTGGCATCTCTACCATTTGGCACAGCGTTTTTTAAAAAAATCCTGCATCTTTAATTTTTTGTCAACCATTCGCTTAAATAACCCCTCTAAATTAATATTTAATCGAAAATATCTGCTTACTTTCAAAGCCGGTTACGGTATACCCAACAACTTAGAGGGAGTCCTCAAAATTCTTCGTCTACGCTTGAGCTCGCTGAAATGGTTACTCTGTTTTCGCACCACAGCACCATCTGTTGAATTTTCTGAGTACTGCATGCTCTCCAAGCTCGGAACTGAATACCCAGTAGGGATGCAACGGTACTCGGTAAAATACCGGACCGTTCGGTACGCGCTGCACGGTCCGGTACGTCCTTGTGTACCGCGGTATTTCGTTTTTGCACTTCCTTTTGAAAATGGCGATTAATGCTTATCAGGCTCCAGTTAAACAGTAAGCGCCAATGAGCGAAAGCCCTCCACCGTGAGTTAATGTCCAATCACTGTTGTGGCTCCACCCACTCGCCCTCTCACACTGATGTAACTGGAGCTGAGCTCGCAGCTTGGTATGCAGACGCAGAAAAAAAGAAAAACAAACAAGTATGGCCAGCACTAGCGGAACAGTTGAGAGGCAGAAGTTTGAAGAAGCACCAGCTTCGTACAAATGTCCAGTATGGATTTTTTTCGGGTTCGCTGTAGAATACAACGACCAGGGAGTCAAAACAGTTAATAGAAATGTCACTGTTTGTAAACATTGCCTAACACGTGTCCCATACGCTAATGGAAACACGAGCAATATGGCTAAGCATCTCAAGCGTAGTCATGCTGATATAACTGTTCCTGAACGGAGGACAGACGAAAAGGTAACTGCAGGTAAACAAGTGTCTATCGAAAAAGCTTTTCAACAGACATACCCTGCTACATCCGATAAACACAAGAAAATAACCCGTGCAGTGGGAACGTTCATTGCTAAAGATTTGCAACCCTTTTCTGTTGTCGAAGATGCGGGGTTTTGCCACTTAATTAAAACGCTTGACCCACGTTAGGTTGTGCCCTGCCGTACACATTTCAGAGACGTTATACTTCCCAACCTCTATGACAAAGCGCGCAAAGCCATCGAAAACGATTTAGCTCAAGCACAGAGCCTTGAGTGGAATATAGAGTGTTTAGAGCACTTTAAGAGGCACTTTAACATTATTTAAAGTGTTTTTGTTTACATTTTGTAAATTTGAATTTTATACATGTATACATATTTTATACATAAATAAGAGGCAGTTTCTTATTTGTTTTGTTGTTATCTGTAGAGTTGTGTTTAAACCGAACCGAAACCGTGGCCCAAATACCGAGGTACATACCGTGCCGTGGGATCCCTGTACCGTTGCACCCCTAATACCCAGCCCAGTATTGTAACGCAACACGCAACGCATGTAAAGGGGCGGCGTCATTTAAATGGTCTACCATGTGGTCGCGCAGGCACTTAAAGGGTTAATACGGGTGAAACGTCAATGTCTGCCAAAGTACGGAAGTCCATTAAGGTTTACGAAAACAAATTTCCACCATAAAAACAACATTTGGGTTGCTTCAAAATATTCCTTGGAAATATGTGCGGATTTAATGAGTCGGCATACATGCTCTTTGTGCCGGGGGGGTTCACCGGCAACGAATTGACTGGAGCAATTTGGCAGCCTTTAGGAAATACCTTTAGGTTTTCAATAGCAACGCTAAAAATATCAACACTGTGTTGTTTCTCATTATCTCAGGACTACTAATGTGCAAATCCTTAATTATATAATCAAGAGAAGGATCTCCCTGCCGGCCCCTGGAGGATGGGCTCCCAATTTGAGCCTGGTCACTCCCAAGGTTTCTTCCTTCTCGGGAGTTTTTCCTTGCCACTGTTGCCTATGGCTTACTCACTGGGGGCTTTGGGTGGGGATGCTGTAAAGCGCTTTGAGACGATGTAATGTTGTGATAACGCGCTATACAAAAATAAATGTGTTTGTTTGTTGTTTGATTAGACTTTAGAAACTCCTAGTCACTTCGTCCTAGCTAAAGATTTGCAATGAAAATTGCGGCTCCACTGTAGCTGTACCCCTCCTGTAGTGGTAAAACCAGTTTAGCAAGCACTGGAGTTTAAACCAGCTGTTCTCGAACCACAGGCTGAGTATTCTAATCTAAAATGGGCGGCCGATTGTACTTGTATGGTTGCCATTTCCAGGAGGGCTGGGCAGCCAGGTAGTCCAATAGGTTCCTTTCCCTGAGTTTGGGATGGATTCAGAAATTGTTGGAGTACGCCGTCTCCCCGGGTCCGTGGATGAGAAGAGATTCACCGCTGACATGGGGAGAAGTTGCAAATCACCGATTTATTCTCTTGACTCATCATAATCAGGGAGCGACCATCTGACATACATTCAGCATGTACAGGAGGAGGCTCTGCCATATGTATCAGCTGTATCCCTTTTAAAGTCCTTTGGGCATCCCCCCCCCTTTCTCGGTACCTTCCGTCTACGTGACAACCACATGTTTGACATTTACTCTAGTTAGTCGGTTAGTACTTGTCCTTGTGGAAGGCTACATATACGTAAGGGCCGCTAACGTTTTCTGTCGCTCCCTCTATCGGTCCCGATTAGGTAACCTTGCCCTGCCGGCGCCAGTCACTTCTCGTTTCAGTTAACTGCATTTTTTTAAATGAACCCCCCCCCCGATCATCATGCCCTGCTTTAAGCTATATTCTCCTTTTCCTCTATTCATTGTATGTTCTTTATAATTCTATTGAATCCCACAAAAGATGAATTTGTCATTTCTGGTGGTGAATTTTAACACAGTACAGAAACTTTACTGATTTGTCTTTTATGCAAACTAAATTATACCTATCACTATAAGGACATTTCAATTTAATGAAAAATTACATCTTATGGTCATAGGCTACTTTGACGGGGCAAAAACCAGTAGGCTAGGCTATAGAGGATGATATTTTACCTTCGATTAAAAATTATTTTTTAACTAGGGCTATTCTTCAATAATGTCAATAATTGAAGTATACTATGTTGACGTTAATTTGCTATTTTCGCTTTGGGTTTTGGCTTTCTGTGGGAACGCCCACCTCCTACAGTAGGCCTATATAAAGGATCGCCCTGGACCATCTCTCGTCATTAGCAATGGAGCAACCAAGCGTCTTTCATAAAGTGGTAAGTAGAAACCAAATATAGCCGTTTATATTAGGCATAACGCATAGCCTGCGGAGTAGGGGGAAACGGAATATAAGAATGAACAGTTTTTACTGTTGTAGATGCGTTTGATTTCGCTTTGCTCATAAATTTAACCGAAACTTGCAGAACGTGAACACAACAGAAGATAAACTGCAAGAAGGCACGAGACAGCCATAAACACAATTCGATCTTCCAACGACGGTGATAGGATCATAATTAAAATCTTTGCCTTTTTGTGTGTGTTTTCTTTGCAGTCTCTGCTGGGTCTGATGTTACTTAGTCTCTCCGCCGATGTGACGTTGGAAACCCCGACCTACGATCACGAAGATCATGTCACCGGCCGCAAACTTAGCTGCAACCGCTGTCCTCCGGGATATCATATGGTGTCCCACTGCACCACCCAACGCCAGACCGAGTGCGCCGCTTGCCCCGCTGGTCATTTCACGCAGTACTGGAATTACTTATCCAAATGCCTGTATTGCAGTAATTTCTGCAGTGATAACCAAATAGTCAAAGAAGAGTGTTCTCCTACGCATAACAGGGTCTGCGCGTGCAAAGAGGGGTATTACTGGCACGCGGAGTTCTGTATCAAGCATGCAGAATGTCCGCCAGGGTATGGAGTGAAACGACACGGTAATTCATCTCTCAGACTCATCTAATTAATTTTTATTTTCATTATGATGTTTCCACAAGTCACATTTTCAAACATTTGTGCATTTTGTTCACTTCTCATGTCATGTGACAATTTGAAGCATCATTGATTTTGTTGTTTTATTAATATCGCATAATAACCTGTTGATAGGGACAGCTGTCAGGAACACCCAGTGTGAGCAGTGTACGGCCGGCTCCTACTCTGCGGAGTCATCCTCCCGGGACCCCTGCAGGAAACACACCAACTGCACGGCTCTGGGACAGCATCTGGTGCTTAAAGGCACCACCGAGAGCGACAATCTCTGCCTTTTTTGCCGGGATGTCGAACATGATGCAATAGGTGCATACCGAAGTGTCATGATTTTTTCGCTTCTGATATAAAATTATGAAATGAAAATTCGCCTAAAATTATTTTTTATCAGGTACTGATTTCAAATTGTTTCAACAAATTTAACGGATACGTATTCCTCTGCAGATTACTTACTCAGAGAGTTTCTCCCGGATTTGCTTGGCGATCGGAAGAGACTGAGGAGAGCAGTATCACTGTTGCCGGAGTACTGGAGACACACGCCACCGCAGGGGGCCGTAAGCGACGGCGGCCGATTCCCCGCTATTATCAGAATAGAAAACGGGCAGCCGCTGGAGACGCCATCTAGGACTCTGAGGAAAACTGACCGCCAGCGCCTGTACCGCAAACTGCACGCAGCTATGGAGGCACTTTCATTACTGCAATATATGTGTTTTAAAGACGTAACTTTGGATTGAACATTGGGGTGGGGGGGTTTGAGGTTCCCTCCCATTCATCAAGACAGTATGATTATTTGGGGAGGGGTTGTGTGGGGCTGGTTCTGATTATTGGGGGGGGGGTTACGCACCTCCATAATTATGCCCATGCATGTGTAAATTCCAGTTCATACTATCTTTGTTCATATCTGTATTGTTATAATAGATAACATATCCGTTTTTTTTTGTTAAAGGAAAAATTAGGCAGCTACTTTACTGGTTTCTTCATAACTATTTATTTTTCCTCGACTCAGATGTGATGAATCCTGTCGCATTAGTGTTAACGTTTATAAAATATTAAAATTTATCACAGAATAACATCTGGTCAAACAACATCAGAAAAAATAACAAGGAATGTATATTTTAAAAAAATAAATGAAGAACATAAAATCTGACATGTTAAAATAACCATTTATCCCATTAGGATGCCATCAGAATACAGTTATCGTCGGCATTTGTCTAGATCTCACCATGAGGTATCTCCCAGTATTCTGATTACTGGTACTGGTACCATAACGGTGCCTCACAGCTCCAGGGATGTGGGTGTGAATCCCGCCTCTGCTCCGCATGTCAGCTGGTCACATGTTCTTCCCGTGTTGTGTGACTTTCCTCTGGAAACTCTGGCTTCCTTCTGCAGTCCAAATGGAGGCCCCATCCATTACAGACACTGGGCCCCACGAAAGTGTACCGCACCACACTGGGCTCCCAACCCAAACCAGTCCAATTATATTCCAAGTTGTTCAGAGCCCCCCTTACGATGCCCCTGGTCATGTGACACTGAATTTGACAGAATTGCTGCCTCTGATATACACCAACTGTTAAAAGATTATTGTTTTTCTTAGTACCTGATGCTACACGTGTGCATTAAATGCATATGATTTAAGATATAAAGCAGAGAATGTTATAATAAATGCTCGTATTTTTACATGGAAAATGTAACACTGGGTCAGTTATTAATCAATGGAGTATCCATTCTATAACATAAATCTCTGTTCTAATGATGTCTTTTGGGTGCTGCACAAGTCCAATAAACCTCAACTTTCAAACTTTAACCAATGTCTGATTACAAGTAGAATAAATTTGCATGCATGACTTAATTGTCTATACTATAGATAAGCAGTTGGAAGATGGATGGATGAATGGATATATATGTAAATGTAAGTGGTGCTGAATGAAAATATTCTCTGCAGCAACGGAAGTTCCCAGTTTGCAGGGAATCGGAAAGGATCTTATGGATAGAATGGATTCCCGTTCCGTAGGCTACACGCAGAAGCGTGACATCAAGCACATGCATATTCAGAACTGAACAAAACAGGCCTGCAGAAGATATGGCTGTTTTCAGGGGAAAACCTGTGTGACTGAATTCTGCGCCTGGTCTGTGCTCATGTCAGGGATAAAGGAGTTTGGATTTCAACAACGCTGGAAACTCCCTGTGTACTGTGCTGTCAGTCAGAAGGGCTTGCACATCTAGAAACTGATTGTTTATGATGTTTATAGAACACTTCCCCTGCCTCATTCCATCTCTGCCTGGCCTTTACTCCTCTTTGATCGCCCTTTCACAATGTCCCTTTGTACGTATTTCTCTCTAAGATCCTTTGGGGGAAAATCATTTGTTTCATGATTTAATTCCACCATGATGCAGTGCAATGACTGAGAGGTCACCGAGCAGCTTTGCAACACAAGGGTTATGGGTTTGAAACTTGCCCCTGGTTCTGTGTTTACATTTGGATGTTTGTGGTGATTCCACCAGCTGCTCTGTCACCGCCTGCAGCCCAAAAACATGTAGTCTAAGTGAACTGGTATCTCTAAATTTCCCATAAGTTACTATGGTGCATTTGCCCCATGATGCATTGCAGTTGCACAGCTCCCCCCAGGTTCATTAGAGACTGAATGACTGGCTAAATACTCTGCACTGGGTGGATAACCTTAAATTCACTGCAAACATAACTAGACACCGGACTTCCTATTTATACCCCACATATGTGTGCAGGCCATTTCTAACTCTTCCCCATTTAATTAATATTACCATTAATTGTGTCCATCGCTAATGGGAGGCACAGCAGCTCGGGTGGGGGTGTGAGCCTGTTTGTGCCCTGTCATGCACTGGCATCCTATCCAGGGTACCCCCCCTGCTTGAGGCCCCTGTTCCTGGGATGGGCTCCTGACTTGGTGTGACCCTGCACTGGATAAGCATTTGAATGAAGCAGTTAAACACTGTAAAAATGGCGTCGCTATAGAGAGTGTGAAGCCTCTGAAGCCTTTGACAGCTTCAGTGCTTTTGGCAGCATTGTTTTTACTATTCAGTTTGGCTATAAGACATATGAAACCTTGGGCATCTATTAATATTTACACCGGTCCCTTGTCGGACCACAAATATTCTTACAGTGCTGTTTTGCCTGCCCAGGCTGCGCTGATCAATGGTATCTTTGTGAAGCCCTCTCTGTACAAATGACGCACATGCAGCGGGGACCAGGAACTGGGTCGGTCACATCCGGCTTTCTCATGTAGACAAAGGCTGGCGGACGGATCGTTCTGTACGTGGACAGAGATGCGTCAGTGTTGGGATTTCTCCGCATCAGTGATGTGTGACCTGGCCTCTTGGAAGTAAAAGAAGTAAAAAAAACAGATGCTTCTCCTTGATCTCCTCTATTATCCTCCACACCACTGTCCCTGAGCAAACATTGTCTTTAGGTGGAATCTGCCAGGATTAATAACACGGGACTGCTCAGTCAGATTTCCCAGAAGATCATCCTGCCCACGGTCCAGGTTTTCCGCCTCCATAATGCGGAAATTGCTCCTCTGACCTTTGCTGAATGACCAGTGATGTTCCTGGATAAAGATAATGACTTAGAAAATGTTGAATGTTTCCTGGTTGTAGATGCAGATGGTGGGGTGATAACAACTATATTGATCCCCATATTGATACTATATTGATCCCCATGGGGAAATTCTCTGCATGCCTCCCCCCAATTTGCTCTCTGTTGGTGTGAGCAAGCTGGCAGTGAAGGGCAGCCACCTACTGCAGCGCCCAGGGAGCTGGGGTTGCTCAAGGACCCACAGACAAGCTGAGGCTGGGTTTGAATGGGTGACTTTCTGATCAGAGGCACAGAGGCTTAGCCCACTGAGCCACACGCTGCCCCCACGGGACCTCGGTGAGTTTGGTCTCTGTGTCTCCGACTAGGAGGTTGCTGTTTGAAGCCCCATCCTCAGTGGAATAATCACATCTCCTTTGGGCCCTGAAAAAGGCCTTTCACCCCCCAAAAATACCCCCGTGGTGCCATTTAAACAGCCTGACCTTGTGCTTGGGCCCCAAGCTCTGCTTTCACCTGAATATGTGTGTATATTTCTCAGTGGAGAGCCAGGTGTGACGTGTGAAAGCTGATGAATCCCCAGGTGCCGACACTCATACGTTTGGCAAATAAAGTATCATTTCATTTCAGAAGCGGGGAGATGGATGTCGGAGTGGCCTGTCTCACCTCTATTTCTGAAAAGGACAATTGAATCTACTCTCTTCTCTGAGATGGAAAATTTACCTTAATCTCCTGTGGACTGACGACTAATTCAGGGGGAGTTATGTAATGTAAGTTACAGGATGTCACAGACCTATGATTTGCATGTAGCGTCACATCATTTGAATATACTTACGCGCATTCAAATCTAAATATATGTGTGTAGATGGAAAAAAATATATATAAAATATAAGATATCTGACAGGCCTCAAAGAGTTCCTATAAATACTTACTTGCTTTGCGTGAAATCGTTTTCATTTCTCATTTGAAGCATGATCTTTGGTGGTTTATTTGTTTGTGCGGTTTCGTTCTTTGATTGTGAGGCTGGTCAGCACCTGGCGGAAATAGTAAATTACTCATGTTTATTGGGGATTTCGGAAACAGGTCAGAACGAGAGACTTTCAGCAAATCGCAGACAAAAACACTTCACAGAACCATCGGCGGTCGATCCCCCTTGTAAGGAACAGATTACTGCTTCTGGAACATATTTATTTCAAAATTAGATTCATAGAAATTCATCTATTTATAACTTTTCCAGAAGAAAGCAGTTGTGTAAGCGAGGCCTCCGGATGCTTGCAGGTGGTGAGATTGAGAAATGTTTGGGTGCCGTTGTCCTACACAAACTCTCACTCGCTGCCAATGATGTCGTCTTATGCAAGCTTTCCTGGGAAGCAGCTTTCAATTCAGAGCTGATATGAAGGATTCTGACATCAGAAGGGTGTGAAATGGGTGGGGGGACGTGAGGGGGTGGGCGGGGTGGACATGAGTGCACATTACCCACAGACCCATCTGTTTCTGAGCTGGGAATCCCCCACAGATAAAGGCCATGAGATTCTTAAAATCCCCAATAAAGCAGAAACTCATACTGGAGTAACAAGGCATTTGTCCAATTGTCCCCACAATGTGATGAAAACCTGTTATTTTGACGTTGTGGGAGCCATTTTTTTGGAAACTCAATTTTATTAAAATCTGTGACTGAAATCAAAAAACTAAAAATGTCAAATATCTTGTATTATGTTGGGTTACTTATGGTTAAGGTTAGGGCTGGGTAGGGGGTCAGGCTGTCACAGTTGTTAATAGGCATTTTCCCATAGAAATGAATGGTCCCCACAAAGATATGAATAGAAATGTATGTATGTGTGTGTGTGTGTGACAGAGAGAGAGGGAGGGGGGGGGGCATTTAGAATCAGGTTTATAGACCAAACATGTTCACACAAACAGGAAATTTGTCTCTGGTTGTCAATGGCCAATGACTCTCATACATACAGTAGATACATTTACGGTTAAAAATAGTGACCTCATTATAACAATGAGGTTTTCCTTGGTGATGGGGGCGGGGGCGGAGGGGGGGGGGTTTCAGTGCTGAGCTGAAGCAACTGTTCATAAGAGCAGCACTTGTGGGATGCATATGCATAGTGATGTGTAGCATAGTGATGTGTAGCATAGTGATGTGTAGCATAGTGATGTGTAGCGTCTGCCGGAGGGGAGAAGTTCAGAGAGGTTCTGGCCTGGGTGTGAGTGTCTGTGATGATGTTACATGCTGTGGAAGAAAAACAGGAACTGAGGAGTGTTAATTAACACAGATAAATGCAAAGATTCGGCGTGATGTAATTCTTAGCTGTAAGCTAAGTGTATCCGAGCCATAGAGAGCTTCCATTAGAGCTGCAGGACCTGGAATAACCACACAAAGCAGATCTGCACACACATCTAAGCCAGAAGACTGGGAGCTTGAGGCTACTGTCTTACCGCTGAGCCCCAAGCAACTTAAATGGCAATTACATGATAATCAATTATAGTATGGTAACATCCAGCTGTTGGGCTGTCAGGCTTGAAGATGCAATTTGCCCTTCTGTAGCAGTGCATGTCTTTTATTCCTCCCTTTTTAACACTATCAATCCATTTGGACTCTCAGGCCAAACACATATCTATGCATCTAAAATAACAGTCACATTACGGCCGGGTTGGTGGAATTTTCTCGTTCATTTACCACAGCATGTTAAACCAACAGCTATTAAACTGTGATCAACAGGTGACTCTGAGACATCTTATACACATCATTCAGAGTTTTCTCTAAAATGTCTAAAGAGCTACTTCCTTTTTCTGATATTCTGAAGCAAACTGGACCACAGACACTGTATTCCTGGAATGCTTCATTCAGGAACTCATAGCTGTTTTGTCAAAAACTTTAGGAAAGACATTATTACAGAGAAAACTATGAGATCTGCCAGATTTATGAGGAACAATTGTGTACACGGTAATGATGGGATCTATTTCGTGCTAACGTGCTCAAGATAAGGATCCATTTAGTCTAGTTTTGCTTTTAGCCATAGTAACTGTTTTAATGTGTAGCAACATGATACTTTCATCTCCATATGTCAACAATAAGTCTGCAAACTGATTCAGGAGTATGTTTGGAGAAATAGTATGTTTCTTAAACAATGCAGCACTATCAGGCATGTTATCAGGCTATAGGCCTAACAAAAATAACAAAGACAAAACAGGAATCAGACAGTCGCAACTCATATTGTGTTTCAGGGGTGTTGGTAGAGATGAAAGGTTGGAGGGCTGAGTCTTTACCTGGGGTGGTGGTGATGGCAAACATATATCATATTAAAAACTATTCTTGTCTTAAGCCAATAAATACACTTTTACTTGGGGGGTGGGGGTTTAAAAACACCATAAAATAGACCTAACGACGCCCCTATTGTCGTTCTTCCCCCTTCATGTAACAGCTGAACAAGAACGAAATCACAAGCGAAACAGTAAAAACGTTATTGTACTTTCCCAGTTAAGGTCGATAAAGCAGTTTAAACACAGACACAGAGCGGCGCCCAGTATTCCCGCGTATTTTCAGTATCACAGTCACCACTCAGCAAACTGAACCTGCCATCTCTGCTGTTAGTCACTCATTTCCTAACACCCGGCCCGTATAAAGCTGGATTCTCCACGAACCTCCCAAATAAATATTGATAAATATTTCCGTAGTGTGACGACAGAAAAAATCAAGGAAGTTGCTTATTTTATTTATTAGTTTTGACGTGAAATACTTTGTAACTTCAATGATAACTTGTAGCGAATGCATATTAACTGCTATAATTGACAATGCGGTTCAGAGTAATTTTGATTTTCCTCCATCGACAGTCTCTGATATTTATATCTTGCTTTAGTCTTTCTTTCTTAAAGCGCGCGCTGTAATAATAACCTGCACCCGCCTGCATCATTGGAAATATGACCTGTGTGTATATTACAGGTAAGGGGGGTGACTGATACCCAAAGTCGCACATTCTCGGACGGCCATAGCTTTCGTACAGGAAATATTTCTCCTATTCGGCGGTACGGTTACCTGCCCTGTGCTGCCCTGGACATGCTCCGGTAGACGGGGCAGCCGCGAAGTCCAGCCGCCCCCCACCCCCCGCTGCAAATCTCACATGTATGCGAAACATGCGTGAGGATCAAGGCCATGGGCGTAAATTATGGGGGGGATGGGTGGCATGTTGTAGCCCCCCCAATAAATCAAAACCAGCTAATACAACCCCCCCCCCCCAATAATCATGTTTCCCCCGTAATGGATGGAGACCTCAACCCCCCCAATGTTCCAGCCAAATGTCCTCATCTGCAACTGGTGTAGGCAGGCCCTAGGTGTGAATTTGGAGGGGGGTGGGCATGGTCCATGTTTGCCCCAGGACCCAGTGTATTGTTTGCCTCTGCTGCAGTAACTCTGTATTGGACATACGGTTGGAGGATGAATGTACGGATGGATGGACAATGATGAATTACGTGTGATTTCACACATTTAAATATTTAAAGATCAAGCTGCAGAGCAGCCTAGCCCAGTTTTAGCCTAAGTGAACGAATACCGGACGTGTCAGGGTGATGTAGGAATTACGGCACGCACTAGCAGCCCACAGACAGCGTGACGTCAGGGCCAAGACTGCGTCTATTGCAAAATAGTCATCGCAATATTTGGCATCACTTACTGATATAATCACCGACTAATTAATAATAATTCTAATGAGCTTGAGCTGTAAATGCCACATATCTTAGTTAATACCCGTCATTAAACCATGTCAGAATTATCAGATGTTCTGTATGCAAAAGACATAAGGGTGTAAGAACATGTACAATCAGTGTGCTAAGTGTGTCCTGGTGCTTAATTACGGGCGCCAGATAATTAACATGAAACAAAATTGACTTTTACATACAGTATATAATTTGTTGTAAGAAATTTGTTTTGATGGTAATTTAGTTACACTTTTATCACCATTAAGACGTCATTCTAGTGCTTCATTTTCAATAATTTAATTAGTTTCTGATTAATTACCTTTGTAATATTAAGTTGTGTTTAATATTGGTTATATTTAACATAATTTACATTCGCAGTGCTAATGAGTATTTCATTTGATTAAGGTTTCCTTTCCTTTACGCATTTTTCTCCGCATTTTATGTTCCATACGCCTATGCTATGCTTCAGTTCCTGTACACCGGCGGGAGAGCAGTAAGCCAATACGAGCGGCTCCAGAGCCTCGGATAGCGGAAGGGTTTTATAAAGCTGTCTGGGTCAACGCCCGTCAGTCCCGCCTTTCATGTCTCTTCCCGGCTTGGCCAGCAGGTGTTGCTGACCATCCTGTTCCCTCCTCTGTGATAGTCCCTAATGTATTCTCCTTGGTCCCCAGACCGCCGCATAGCACAGTGGGATGAGCGTGTGGCTTATGGTCAGGGGTTCAAGGCTAGCCAGATGCCACCCTTATATGTTATTTTGTATTTACTGTTTTTTCTGTTTCCCCAGTGTTTATTTCTATTTGTTGTTGAATAAGAAAGTGAAATAAATATTTTATTGGAGCCACGCAACACAGATATAAGCACAATTTAATTTTCCCTTTATTCTGAGAATTCTGTTAGCAGTGTTAAAAATGTGTATGTAATAGTATATTTGCAAACAGGGAAGGAAACCCTGTTTTGGCATTTCATTTTAACCAGTGTTTTAATAAAAATGTTCATGACATCTTACGTGTGGCTTCGACGTAAGATTAAACATTTAGCCAACTTCATATAATATATACAGATATATAAAAAATGTATCGCTATTATGCCTAAAAATATCCAGATACGGGTTTTGGTCCATATCGCCCAGCCCTAGTGAAATTCTCAAAGCTAGCAATAGACTCTAATAGACATCAAACTTTACAGTCTCTTTCAGAATGTACCTTACGACGTATAGTCAGAGGCTGGTGAAATTTGGACGTGGTTTAGCATTTTTTTTAAAACTGAGCTTCTGGTCACGCTGTTTTTTGGTGGTCTCTGCTGCCACCTAGTGGTTGATGAGCTGGCCTCTTGG